GGTTGAGAAAAATTGAGTTTTGATTGGTGCAAAGCGTTAAAATATGAAATAAACCTTTAATATTAAAAGATGGGTATGGGTGTAAGCTTTGCTTAAGAATATTGCAGGAACAATTTGGTCAGAAACTCATGGGATTTCTATAAGAACTCCTATCTCTCGAAAGTGAATTCTTACATACTGTGCCCACAAAGCGTCAGTTTTATCAATCTTAAACTTGCCGAATTAGCTACTAGATAAAAAGATATATGGTTCCACTAGCCTGAAGATTTATACTCACAACGTATTGTAGCATAAACTCGACTAATATCTGAACAAAAGCTAAAAACATGCAAAACCCGAATCTCTGCTTGATTATCAAAGACTCTCTCAAATCTTTGTGCATCATCTAAGCCGTATTTCAGATCCGCCCATCTCTGGATCAAGGATCTAATATTAACACTTCAGAGTGATCGGCTTATCTGCGTTGAGTTTACGTCTCGACTTAAATGACCAAGCTTAAGAATCAATAAAAAAGGCAACACCCAAGTGTGCCCTTAAATCCTTAAGCTTGACTCAAACCCACACCCAAAGGGGTGCTTAGCTCATAATAAAATTAGAAAACATAGGGGAAACAGAAGAAGAAAAATACATAAGAAATACTTGAACTGAAAATAAATACTTACTGTTGCCCACAGAGGGCACACAATACACAGTGCCGAGAATAAAAGACTAACTACGAAAATAAAATTACAAGCAGAAAATAAACTTGCTCTACTACTACAAAGCTTAAGAGAATGCTCCAAGGTTGCTTAGCTAATTTGCTGGTGGAATGGAGTGATTACAATTGAGAGAAAGCCTTCAAAATATAAGGAAAAGGTGGGACCAGATAAACTCTTTACCCAATGGATAAAAATTTGCATTGTCCAAAGGGTAAGGACCACCCATCACCACAGGTCTACTTCATCTCTGGCCATGTCACTTCTTCTTGAAAGGTTGCAAAAGGTAAAACTACTCCAATAAATTATGAAAAGAAGGCTTTTCAATCAAAATAAAGGTAGGAGTACTTTCTTTGTCTTTTCATCACTTCAACTAGGTCCATTCTTCCAAGCAACTAAATGTTTAGATCTGAACTCAGAATTAAATCTCATTAAAATCCAAGGGAATGAATATCAAAATTTTGTTCAAATCCAACTAGATGCAAATCTGCCATAAGATGATTGTGAGCAGAAAGTGGCCATTTTACCAACAGTAATGGGTTTTTTAGAAAATAATTAAATTCTTGACCTTTCATCACCTCTTAACATATGTTGGACCAAAAAAACAAGATAGGAGCAAAATGGGTGCCAAAGACACAATAAAATAGGGGTATTAAACAACAAATAACTCATACAAAACGAGAGTTATCAACGGCCCTACATACCTCGGACTGAGCTTCCCTTTCTTTCCAAATCTGATGACACCCTTCCACGGTGAAACTTTTAACATTACAAAATCACCTATACCAAACTCAATCGGCTTTCGACGATTATCAGCATAACTTTTCTGACGATCTTGTGCTGTTTTGATTCTTTCACGGATCTGTTCGATCTTTTCAGAAGTTTCTTGGACAATTTCAGAACCCGTCAGCTGTTTTTCACCAACCTCATTCCAACACAACGGCGTTAGGCATTTACGTCCATACAACACTTCATATGGTGCCGCTTGGATGCTGGAATGGTAACTATTGTTATATGCAAACTCTATCAATGGCAAGTGATCTTCCCATGATCCCCCGAAGTCAATAATACAACTTCTTAACATATCTTCGAGAGTCTGGATAGTTCTTTCACTCTGGCATCAGTCTGCGGATGATAAGCTGTACTCAATCAGATTTTAGACCCTAAAGCTTTCTGTAACCTTTCCCAGAACTTCGAAGTAAACTGACTATCTCTATCAGAGATAATGGACAATGGAACACCGTGTCTAGTAACAATTTCTTTGATGTAAATTTGTGCTAGCTTTTCTAAAGAGTACTTCTCTCTTATTGGTAGAAAATGCGTAGATTTAGACAGACGATCAACAATTAGCCAAATCGTGTCATATCCCTTTGGAGTTCGAGGTAACTTCATAACAAAATCCATGGTAATGTGATCCCAGTTCCATACAGGTATATCTAAGGATTGAAGATTTCCATACGGCTTTTGATGTTCAATCTTAACCTGTGAACATGTCAGACACTGTTCCACATATCGAGCTATGTCTCTTTTCAATCCTGGCCACCAATAAAAAGGTTTCAAATCTCTATACATCTTATTGGTGCTTGGATGAATAGAGTATCGGGACTTATGGCTTTCATTTAATATCATATTTTGGATATTTCCAAAACATGGTACCCAAACTCCTCCTTGAAAGCATATTAGTCCTTCGTTATTCTGTTCCAAGGTTGAAATCATCTTACCCAACCTTTCTGCTTTAACAAAAACTTCTTTTACAGCTTCTTGTTGACATCTCTGAATTTCCTTGCAAATGTCGGGGATCAAATTCATTCTCATTGCCACAGCTTTAATGGTTACACTCTTTTCTTTCCTGCTTAAAGCATCAGTCACCACGTTAGCTTTTCCTGGGTGGTAGAGGATTTCACAATCATAGTCATTAACCAGCTCAATCCACCGACGTTATTGCATATTTAATTCTTTCTGGCCGAACAAATGTTGTAAACTTTTATGGTCAGTATAAATCTGACATTTTGTTCCCAGAAGATAGTGTCTCCAGATTTTCAGAGCAAATACCACTGCAGCTAATTCCATGTCATGGGTTGGATACTGCTTCTCATGACCTTTCAATTGTCTTGACGCATAAGAAATCACCTTTCCTCTCTGCATCAGAACACATCCTAACCCTAATTTTGAGGCATCGCTATAAACCACAAAGTCTTCAGATCCATCTGGTAAAGTCAATAGTGGTGCGCTACAAAGATGATCTTTTAACAGTTGAAAAGCTTCTTGTTGTTCTCTTTCCCACTGGAATTTAATGTTCTTCCGAGTCAATTTAGTCAATGGCACAGCTATTTTAGAAAAGTTCTGAATGAACTTACGGTAATAACCGGCCAATCCCAAAAAGCTTCGAACCTCGGAAGGATTTTTCGGAGCTTCCCATCTTGCAACTGCTTCTATTTTTACTGGATCAACT